TTGAGACAGATGATGTGTAATATTATGATGTGATCGTGATATGATTGTGATTGATGACATGTGCATATTCATTATTCATCCCATGTGTGAACTATCTGTTGCATGAGTTCTGAGACACTGATATGAGGATGGATGGATATGAGACACAGTTGAGACTAGCTCCGGCTAGAGATATATGAGATGGACTAGCTCCGGCTAGCGATTTGGATGCCGATGGGATCTGGTTCCGGCGGTGATACATGGTCCATGTGTGGCCCCCATGGGTTCTGATTTGAGTATTCAGCGCGGTCTGATTACGTCAACAGATGTGTATCTTAGGACAGACATGCATCACGACTACATGACATCATTATTGCATTTGCATCGCATTTGACTTCATCTTTGTCTGTGGTGTGTGGATTTTACCTACTTGCTCCTCTTCATGTGATATATGATCTATTTGCTCTTATATGAGGATATGAGGTTGATGTTGAGATACTGTTGGATATATCTGTTGATTATGAATTGTGTAGTATAGGTTGTTGGTTCAATGTTAGAATGAAGTTTCGTTGGTTCGGTTGGGATTGAAAGGAGTTGTTTGTAGCTGCTAGTTTAGCTTAGTTTAGTGTTACTTGCGAGTACCTGTTGCTTTTGGTACTCACCCTTGCTTCTACACAGTTGTGTAGGTTGACAGCTCTATCAGATCCGGCTTATTACTCATCTTCAGATTAGAGCTTCCAGACTTACTTGAGAGGTAGCGGTTCATTCCAGACGTGCCCTCAAGTTATCTATATTTACTGTTCTGTTCTATTCTAGAACTTTACTATGAGACTTGTATATTTTATTCAGATTCTGTATTAGAGGTTTGTACATGTGACAACCAATTTTGGGGTTATGTTGAGTTTATTTAAAGACTTTCGCTTATCTTTCTATCTTATTCTTGTTTATAAATTCTGTATCGTCGGGTTTTTGGGTGTTAGGCTTACGTGTCCGGTGGGGTTTGGGCACGTGCCATCACATCCGGTTTTGGGGTGTGACAATATCTCTTCTTCATACTATCCCACCAATAGATTTCTCTCAAGTCATGGTACGTCTTGGTGGAACCCCGATGAATGGAATATCTGGAGCTATGAGCTTCCTCCATGATCTCCTCTCTTGGGTTCCATCCACCATTGGTATACATAGTCTACCTTGATATCTCAGTATGCCATCTCCCCCTAGTTCAAAAGCTAATACTTTTTGCTTATGAACATTTGCCTTCAATTCAAGCAAGATAGGGCCTTGGTCTTGCTCGCCTTTTACTTCTGACACTAATGATGATTCAGCCCCATTCATCACCACTATTCCTCCTTCTGTGAAATCCATTAATCAAACTCCTAATCATGCAAGTTTATGTAAGGTATGTATTTTTTATTTTTCTAAATGCATAATATGATATAGATTTTAAATCTCTTGAAGTACATAAAATTAATTGAGATTGACTTAGTAGTTGAGGAGTTCAAAATTCACCTTGAGATTCCAAATTCTTACCACTCCACCACAACCCTATTTAAATTGTCTCAAGTGGATAACTCATAGATAGTACATTTTTGTTTTTTTTAGAATCTTTAGCCATCCCGTGACTAAACTAACTTTATGATGCATGCATGATTAAAACGTTATGATAATTATATATTTCTCTATAAATAGTTGTGTGAGAGAACCCATTGTTTTTCATCTCAAGTATCATATAATATAATATAATTATGGCATTAAAAGTTGCATTTGTTTTGTTGGTTGCAATTCTTTTGTTTACGAAGAATAATGGTGAGATCGTTGGAGACGTGAAAGAATGTTTTGAGGAATGTATGCCTTCGTGTGGTGAAGACAAACACTGTAAGAGTGCGTGTGCTGTCGCTTGTGCTATAAGTGCTACTCATAACGTACAAATTCAAACTCGCAAGTGTAACGTTGGATGTTCTCTTGGCCATTGTTACAAATTTCTCATCAACAAATATGGTATGTAACGTATAGTACATTTTTATGTACTATTGACGGAGTGATGATAATATAATCTTAAATCGTTAATTAATTTTGCAGATCATGAGAAGTTTGGAGGTTGTATGACAACTATTGTGTTGGTGGCAAAATTGCTCTATCAAAAGCTTAGCAAGAAGCATTAATTATATATGACCACAAAGTATATATATATATATATATATATATATATATATATATATATATATATATATTGTGTTGTCTATCATACTATATATGCTACTAATTAAATACTTTTGTGGTTGTGATTTTCTAAATTATATATGCAATCGTTATGTGTGTTCGTACTTGAATAAATAGTCTAGTGTTTTCTATTAATTATTATTATATTGTTTTAATTATGATTATAATGCTTGGATACGTTGTATGATTTTTCATCGTTATAATATCACGCATTAACAATATATAAGGTAAAGCTATTATATAAACATAATGCCGCAAATAGAATATGGTATATATATTTGTCCTAATCATGACTTCTTCTATCACAAGAACTCAACACGATAAAAAGAAGAAATTCTCATAAAATATTACATAACGACTATTTCAAGTGTTAATTATTGAGTTTTAAACTTAATATGTGTATATTGTATATATTTAGTAAGTTTCTTAATACAAATTAATACACTACTTAAACAAAAAATATTTGGTCAAATCCATCATCAGACTTTTAGCTCCGCTCTTGATTAATTGAGAAGCTAATTTCTGATATAATACAGTGGAAATTATGTCTATATTCCGTCAAATATTTCAATTATTTTATGATATTATTTGCTTTCTGTTTTACTTTTTGAGAGTGGACCACTACAGTACATTTTTGGTTTGACCTAATTATGTATTGTTCCTTTCTTATAAAATTATTCTTTGTATATAAAGCTGCACAGATCAACGTACTAGGAAATTAAATTTAAATAACATGCATGTTTAAAACGTTATGATAATAAGCTATATAATAGTTGCTAGATGAAATTTATATAATTATGAAAACGAATGATGTGTTTCGCCATAGAACACTTATTATGCTAACTAAAAGACTATATTTATCTTTGTCAAGAATATTGTACCTCCAACTACTTCTCAAGAAAAACAAAGACGAAAGACAGATTTCTTTACATACCACTACAAGAAAAATATGAATTACATGGGAATTTTTCTGGGGATTAGTATGAAAATCCGTAAGAAATTTATTTTTCTGCAAATTTTCATACTAATCCCCAGGAAAATCCCCATGTAATTCACACTTTTCTTGTAGTGTATACCATACATTGATAAAAATATGTTTTGGTTTCTCTTGGAAATTAATATTTGAAGTTAACACCGAACATCGAACCGAAGAATCGAAACCGAAAAACCAAATTAATTCGGTTCGATTGTTTCGATTTTTCGATATTTATGCCCACCCCTAATATATAGTACATTTTTGTTTTCATGTTATCGTATTGTTCCTTTCTTAGGAAATATTCTTTCTATTCTTTTCATATCACATTTTTTGGGTCTACAATATATATATTTTTATGTAATTTTGCAGATGAAAACAAGTTTGATAGTTGCATGAACGATTAGAGTGAAAATTATTGCATTCTGTCTAATACTAGGCATTTGCATTTTGTCTATGACACTATGCTAATTAAATACTACTTTTGTGGTTGTAATTTTCTAAATTATGTAATCGTTAGTGAAATAAGGACATACTTACCACTTCTCAACTCACTCAACTCAGGAATGAGATACTTAACTCAAAGATAAGCTATTCAACTCAGTGAAATAAGGCTCAACTCAATAATAAGACACTCGACTATTCGGTACTCAAACTCTGGATACTCAACTCTGGATACCTAACTCAATATAAAGCAACAATAAGAGATGCAATATATGGAAAGCTTTTTAAACAATAGAAAACAACTCAATGTATTTAAGAATATAGTATACTCTGTTTGTATGCAAGGATACAATATAAACTCTATTTGTATATGAAAATACAAGTAAACTATGTGTATATAAAAGTACACAGAACTGTCCATCACTATGAGCTATGTGATGATACAGCGTCTCGCCCACACTGCCATAACTGTCCTATACTTTGCCAGGGTATAAGATCTACTCACTAAGTGGACCCACTTATAAACTCTATTTGTATATGAAAATACAAGTAAACTATGTGTATATAAAAGTACACAGAACTGTCCATCACTATGAGCTATGTGATGATACAGCGTCTCGCCCACACTGCCATAACTGTCCTATACTTTGCCAGGGTATAAGATCTACTCACTAAGTGGACCCACTTCTATGCTAAAAGCATTAAGGAATCATCTAAAAAGTATGACCCTTTCTACCCACGTTGGCCACATGGTTTATGAGGACTGTCAGTTATCTGAACTCTCCCCCATTTCGGTGTTCAATACTACTCCCAAAATATATTAGCTCATATGTTTAAAAACATAACTTTTCTGTGGTTTGAGCTTATTACTAAAAAAAAATTCTCTTAAAAGAGATGGTACTCAAACTGCTCAAAGCTCTTTTGGAAATCTCAATTTCATGTGAAAACATTTACTCTTGAGAATACTTAGTTCCCATATATCATTTTAAAGAAAATGAACTCAACTCTGCTCTTTCTCAAAAACATTTCAAAATCATATTATAATATAATCTTTGCTGACTCGGGAAGTCATACTGCATAAACATTGATGGTATATCTTGATACCATACTGCTCATACATTGATGACATACTCGATTCTCATACTAATCATGTTTTCAAAACACTTTTCTCAAAACTCATATTTACTTTCTCAAAACTCAATTTAAGAACTCAAATGTTGGCTTTAAAAAGCTTTTTAAAATTTATAACTCAAATCATAGGGTTCATGTGGAATTATGAACATGAACGACTCAACTCAGGGATATTAATAACATTAAAGAACCTCACTACTCAGAACTCAAGACTCAATGATACTACTCATCTCTAGACTGCTCGACTCATAGGGTTCATGCAGAATTATGGGCATGAACAACTCAACTCAAGGGCTTTATGGGTAACATGTAGTAGTCCCATAAGTAGGAATATAATCTCAAAATGATTAGTAACTCAATGCTCAAGACTTAGAACTTGAAGATGCTACGTCTCTCAAATACACTCAATTATGGCGTTCATGCAGAATTTATAAGCATGAACGACTCGACTCGAGGGCCTACACAACAATATAGAACTCATGTATATGACTCTTTTCATTCTCATACTTACTTCCTCAAAACTTAGATCAAATCGATAGTTGATCTCAAAGGATCCACAATTGAACTCAAAGACTTACTTGAACTCTACTCTTAACTCTCCCTTGAATGTGAATTATGACTTCAAGAGTTATTGTTCATGATATGAAGGATCTCGATAACAATATAGCAATTTGATAATTAAGAATAGAACTTTTAAAAGAAACAGGAATTCAAGAACTCAAAATCAACTTATCTCAAGAATACTCAAATCTAGGGGAAGTATCCTAGATTACTTTTTTATTGATTTGAAAGTAGATGTAGGGCGTGAGGACGAACTAGTCCAACTCTATGATAGCGTTACATACCTGGAAGAACAAGGTTCTTCAAGAATCTTGAAGAAGAACTTGATTAGAAGCCTTGAAACCCTAGCTTGAAGGTAAACGATCAATAAAACCTTTCTTGAGATTCTTGAATTAGTTTCTTGAAATCTCTATGGCCAAAAATTATTATTTTTATTAGTGATTCAGGATTGTATGGAGGAATTTGAGTTGAAAAAATGGAATTCTTGGATAAAGACTTACCTTAAAGAAAAATCTTGAAAAAGATTGAAAGAATCTTGAATGGAGTCTTCTATTTTGATTTTTCCTTAAGGTTTTTGCCCTAGGGTTTTAGACAAAAGAGAATGATGGATTAAAAGATGACAATCTGGTTGAAGTGAGCCTTTTATTAGTCAAGAAATTCGTTTAGGGTTTTCTTGGAGGTAAAAAAAAAACCCTTTTTAATGTTTTCCCGTCGGCTAATTCCTAACAACACTGTATAGGTTACTAAAATAGTCATAACTTTTTATTCGGAAATTAGATTGACACGAAATTGGTGGTGTTGGAAAGTAGATTCAAATACCTTTAATTTCAAAGGTTATGGCTCACATAACTCTTTACATTCTAAGATATATGGTCGTTTGAAATTGACCAAGTAGAATCTTACATCAAAACTTAATCGATAAGGAAAATTCAAGAACACTTAATAAGAACCTAAATCCTGAAATTTCAAGAACAAAATTACGCTGAATAAATCATAATTGGCGTGTGGGTGAACGAACCGAACAATATGGAAGCTTACATACCTCAAAGAACTAGGTTCTTGGCGAAATCTTGAATTTCTTGAACGAACGTTTGAAACTTTGAACTTTTTCTCCTCTTGAATCTTCTCTCTAAAACCCTAAACGCTTTTGGGGATGTGAATGAAACTAATTCTAATCAGTTTAGACTCCTAAAACCTTACCAAAAACGCTTAAATCCTATTGGGTAAGGAAAAGGCCAAAATACCCCTCATATTTTCGGGTAACTTTCCTTATTTGGACAGCCTGACTTTGAACGGGCATATCTCCCTCATTCGGGCTCTAAATTTAGCAAACTTGGTGTCGTTGGAAGGATAATTTAAAGACCTTTCATTAGCTATCTTGTAGTCCACCTAAATCATCCTTTACTGAAAGTTATGGGAATTTGAAGTTGACCCAAAACTCATAACTTAAGCATAACTTACAAAATTTCAGATTTTGCTATTTCCAATTTAATTCTTTTTAGAACTCAAGGTGCTACATCTAGTGACCTGACCTTAATACTTAAGAAATTTTAAATTCCTTGATAAAATCCTACTCACAACGAAGGATGATTCGAGTCTTAGTTCGAAAAAAATTCTAGGGTGTTACATGTATCACAACACATACAATACGGAGACATATTCAAATCAA